CTCTCTGAAATTATTTAGGTAAGCTTAGCCCAGGCCATCCATTGGTAGGTACAAGAAAGGAAAATAAAAACCATCCCCACACTTTATAACTTAAAAGAAGACTTTGCACGTGTTATTTAAAAAGCAGAAACAAACAAACAAACACCTGTGGTTTTGAACATAAAAAAGTTCCTAGTTCTGGCCTTCCTTTGAAAGGCTGCTATCTGTTTTCCTCAGCATGCTGGCATGTGCCGGCTCAAAAGCTCTGTGAACCTGGGAAGACTTTCTTCTTTTTCCTTTCATGTTCTTTCTTTGAGAAATAGGAAGGTGATGGGTTGGGCCACAAGTTGAAACCCAAAAGATACAAGGACCAGAAAATTCTTCTATACCGAATTGACGATGTAAAAATTGACCTAGTTGATGTACAGCTCTAGACTGGAAATCCAATTACATGATAAATATTCACAAAGAAAATATACAACACCAAGGAAAGCTTAAATCCTATGTGCATGTCTGATTGGAATCTTCAAGCATTGGGATGTTAAGAAATTAAGATCCAGGTCTCTGGGTACACAGAAGCTCCTTGGGGCCCATTTGGAAACAGGAAGCATGCCTGCATTTTGGGCTAGGGTCCCTGTTATACATTCCATCGTGTCCTCAGGCTTACTCTAAGGCCCTGCCTCTCCCTTATGGCTGGCATGCTAGCCAGTTGGGGGCCTAGCCTTCAGCCCAGCTAGTCCAGTTGGAGGTCTGGAAAGATGAAATGTCTCCCATAAAAACCTCTGCTTTAAATTAATGCCTAAAACTGATTCATTTTTAGTTCTTCATTTAAAAACACTGTTCTCAGTGTTTGTAAAATGAATTAAAACACCCAATTCATCCCCACTTATCTGTATTCCTCTGGCCATCAAGGATGTCAACAACAATCAGTGTCTGTACGCAATATTTTGTCCTGTGTAGCTAGTTAATTTGGATATAGTATATGCATTGTTTACCCCAGTAGACATAAGCCAATAATCTTATTCTGAATTTCCCACCCTGGAGAGAGAATGTCTTTAGTTTTTATACAGATTTCCTATTTTAGTTGTATTAGTATAACATTCCAAAATCATTTCTATCAAAGCTTTAAATGACCTACTGCTTATGGAAGCAGTATACCCTGGTACAATACATTATAACACATAACACATTGTGCTTGCGACTAACAGACACACAGTGTTCCTCTAAGCGTCTCATCTGTTTCCTTATCTTTGCTGGGCTCACTGCATTGGCTGGCTCCAGTCTCCCTTTGTCAGTGTTAATGAGAGCATGAAAGCTTCGTGAAATGCAAGGCTGCTCGCTTTCAGCGTGTCCAGTCGTTAAAAATGCACACAGTCCGTTTCTCTGAACCTTTCCTATTTCTTTGCTGTCTGGCCTTTTTCTTTAGGCCTTCACTGCCATCTCTTTTGTTTAAACATCTTGTCTTGTTCCCATATTTTAAAGGAGGTAAAAAGAAAATCCCGTGGTTGTATTTATTCCTGTGCATACCTTTTCAATAAATATAAATTGTCCAAAAAAGTAAGTTGTCATAATATACGAAGGGAAGTATCCAAATGGACCATGTTTTCAGCAAAGCTTTCCGCCATCTAAAACAGACACTAGCAAGCATCTCTATTATGTTTTACAAGGTAAACTTCACAGTAAGTAGGTGGATATAAATTCACACCGTTACTATATTTGGAAAGGAGGAAGAGGACCAGCAGGTGAGCAATGAGGGAGTGGGGGGTGATTAAAATATATTGTATACACACACACACACACACACACACACACACACACACACACACGCACACACACGAAGCTGTCACAGTGTGTGCTGTGCTAGCCAATGTAAGAAAGTTTTAAAAACTACTTCTACTCGAAAGGCAGAGGCAGGCCTGGTCTACAAAGCAAGTTCCAGGACAGCCTCCAAAACAATACAGAGAAACCTTGTCTCGAAAAACCAAAAACCAAACCAAACCAAACAAAAAACAAAACAAAACAAACAAAAACTACTTCTAAGAATCTGATGTATGTCTTGCATGTTCTGACATCAGGAGACAATTTTACTAACACTTCTATAAAGGTTGAACTATTTGCCACTGTATGTATAGCTGCCAGCCAGAAGAACCAGTTCTCACTCCAAATGTTACGTCTAGACCAGTGGTTCTCAACCTGTGGGTCATGACCCCTTCGGATTTGAACCACCCTTTCACAGGGGCTGCCTAGTACCATCAGAAAACACAGATGTTTACATTGTAACAGTAGCGAAACTACAGTTATGAAGTAGCAACAAAAATAATCTTATGCTTGGGGGTCACCACAACATGAGCAACTGTATTCAAATGTCACAGCCTAACAAAGGATGAGGACTACCGCCCTAGACCTTCACATATACACATTTAGGAATAACATGAATTGCTCAGAATTCAGAAATGTCCCTCAGTCACCGCACACACCTGCTGTGAATACCACAGAATCAAAACCGTAAACTGGAGACTAAGAGAGCATGCCAATGTCACTTAGCACGACTGGGGAGTGACATTCCATTCTGCACAAAGTAACACTAGGATGCTAAGAGGTAGTTGACAGGTTAGTCTGCCTCATCCCAGCATTGGACACTCGCTCCTCACACTCAAGACCTTCTCACCTTCAGAGCGATGCTGTCTCTGACATGGGTGGCTCACAGCCCATAATCTCTGAAGTCACTGTCATGGCCCCTGTCTTTGTGAAACAGACAGCAGTGTTACAGTAAAACCTGTCCGGTGTTAGTGAAGAGGTTATCTGTTAGATGTGTGGACACTGGAGCCACATGCTAGATTTCAGGGATACCTGCTGTGTCCTATCACACATTGTGCCTATAAGTGGTCCTTGGGTGGACCCTAAAAAGCGTGACACCTCTCCTGCCCAGGCTTAGTGGCCTGCATGAGCCTGTGAGGCCAGGCGTGCAGAAATAAGAAGGCTAGAATGAGGTAAAAGAGTGCCCTGACCTCAAGAAGGGACAGGCCTTTTCAGCTTCCTGCAACGGTTCCAGCATGTGTGTGTGTGGGGGGTCCCTTGAACATATCTGGAGAACTGGGTAGTGACTTCCATATCCAGGAATGATCAGGGAACTTCTGAGTGTCGCCTTCCAGACCCCCAATCCCTCCGCAGAGATTCTTTCTTTCTTGCCCTACCCCTACCCCTAACTGCAGCCCGCGCATAACAAGACCTCTTCCTTTGCTTGGTCCTATAGACTTTCTGCCTCCAGGAAACAATTCTTGAAAGGACTGTACTCAAGGGATGAGCTGGACCAGTCCCACTCGTTGGCGCAGACTCTGCAGAGGCTATGGTCGCTCTCAATTCTAAACATAGTCTGATGCCCAGAGAGCCACCGGCTAGTAGCCGTGGCCTTTTTGCCTGTGGTGTGGCCAGGTCTCTGAAACGTGGGAAGCTGCCCTCCAGGCTTGGATGCCAGTCCAAAAGCAGACAGCAGAGGGCGCGCGCAGCCTGCTGTTGAGCCTGCAAGAATGCAGGTCCAGGTACTGTGTCCCCGAACCTACGGGTCCTGCCAACATGCATCTGCCTCTGCGAAATTCGTATTTAGTGAAGTGAATGCCCACCCCCACACCCATGGCATCAGCTCTCCTTGGCCCCACTGTGATTTCCTCCCAAACTCACCACCTATGTCCCTGTCACCTCTGTTCTTATAAGCAGTCAGGAAGCCAGTTTCAGAGGATCAAAGTGTCCCGTTCCCCCCCCCCCTCCATTTAGAAGCAGGAAAATCAAAGGGATCTGACTTCGATTCTAACTCTGCAGAGTTCTTCCCTCCTATGAAGTTTCACTGCCTCCTCCCTCTGAAGGTCTTTGAACTGTTAATCTGTGGACACACAGAAAGCAGGATAGCTTTCAGGTGGGAAATCGATGTTTCTAAGCAGCAGCTTTTGGTAATAGACTACTCCTCACCTCCTTAGTGAGCTATCAAAAGACACCTGAGTTTGTTTTGTTTCTTTGAAATGGGGCCCATGCTAGGCTAGCCTCACACTTGAAATCCTCCTGCTTCAGGCTACCACAGAGGTGCTCTCCGGGGCTGGAGGGGTGGGAAGGGCAAGGGGTGGGGGTGGTGTCACTTAGATAAATCTAAAATCAATGCCCGGCTTTGAATGTCTCCCCGTGCCCCTTGCCCTCTCCAAGTGATGTTCAGGGTCCGAACAGAGCAATGATTCGTAACCTGGGATAAAACGCCTCTTGTAAGATGGGAAGGAAAGGGGGAAGCAGGGCGACCCGGACTCATGTCCCAGTGAAGCCTGCTGGACCCCCAGCTCCTTGCTGGTTCAGCCCACACAGAGGACCTGTTGGCATCCTGCGTCCACGTGTCTCCATGGCTTTACGGCAGGGGCTTGAGGACCCGGTGAGATTAGCAGGAATGGTTCCTATCCCTGGGACTGTGAGAGGCCCTGCTGTGTTCTCCTTCCCTCTGGGGTGTTACAGAGGCATTGGGCATCATCTTTCAGCCATGGGTCGCACACACTGAGCACATTTATCCTCTCACAGCAACACGACGTCTCCGCCCCAGGTTTACTGTGACTCCATGAATCTCAGTAGCTTACTGAGGCAGGGGAGAGACCTCACCTGATGATGCCCGTCAAGGGATTCCAGAACTGTCCCTGCCTTGCCCCTCCCCAAAGGAAGTCTGGGTTAAAGGAATGGGATGGGGAAAGGAAGTGGTTTTGAAGGGAGTGGGGCTTGAAGAAATGAGAGTGGTCCAGAATAAGTAGATGCCTCCAAACCAATTGACTCACACTCCATGGTCAGAACATCCTGCTTGCAAACAAGGGCCACACTTGAGTGAGCCTGTTGTGTAGCCAGCAACAGGTCCTGTCCTCCGCTTGCCAGCGTCACACAGTTCTTACTGAGACATGTGGCGAGCCCAGAGGGACGGTGGCTATTGTACTGCTAACCTGACACAGAAAATCCTCAATAGAGGGAAACAGTCGAGGGAGATGTGACAAGAAGAAGCCTACCTGGGACAAACGGCGAGTCACCTTCCAACTCCGAGGCAAACGTCTCAGGTGCCTGTGACTCGGGCCAGCACCGTACCGCAGCTGTGCCAGGCAGACCAAGAACAACACTACAGCCTTAGGCCAGGAGGAGGGTCAAATGCCCTTGGCCATTTGATCAGAATCCGGGCAAAAGAAGCCAGGAAACCGAGGAGATGAGACGCCAAGCCGGTGAGCACCAGTGAGAAGCTGGCACATGCCAAGTGCTGGAGGAAACACGAAGGAGAAAGAAGCCATCTCTAAAGAGGAAGAGAGGGGTTTTCCGGGTCTCTGGGGACAGGGTCTGGCTCAGTGGCCCGCGGGCCCTATGGGTACAGAGGTTCGGAATACACCTGAACTGGGTACAAACTCAGCTGAGTGAGGGGCCATCCTCTCAGCTCCTGAGCCCCAGCTTCCCGCATATGGAAAGTCTGAGCTCCCGGAGGGTGGCACTTAGCAGAGTGCTGGCACTGCTAGGCCTTTGAGTGTGTCCCTGGTACTACTGGGTTCCTCTCAGTTCTATTTCTGGTTACTCCTTATGACCAGGCTAGTCCTCTGGCAAGCTCAGGATCTGGGTGCAGCTGGCAAAGGGGACTCAGGGGAGCTGGAGGTGATTATAGTGACAGACCTCCTACACTGAGCAATACACACACACACACACACACACACACACACACACACACATGCTCAGGCACAGGCCAGGCTGCCTCTCGGTACCACCAGACTGCAGGCAGAAGGGTCAAGGCTGTGCAAACTTGAATTCTGGTACACCACTACCCTGGTCACAGAAGTGTGGCCGTCATAGGCGCTGCAAAGGAGTTCAGGGCTGTGACTTCCCAGAACCCCCCCTCCTCCAGCTCCCTCCTTACTGCCCTCCAGGCTCTTGTCCTTTTGCTAGCCCTTAGATGGCCTCATGGAGGTCAGAGGGTATCCTAATTTGGTGTCTCTGTTGCTATGATAAAAATACTAACCAAAAGCAACTTGGAGAGGAAGAGGTTTGTTTGGCTTACACTTCCACGGCACAGTCCATCACTGAGGGAAGCCAAGGCAGGAAGTCAGGGCAGGAACTGAAGCTGAGGTCAGTGCTGCCACCACCATCTGGTTGGTTTCCCATGATCCCTCAGCTTTTTTTTTTTCCCTGACTGTCCTGGAACTCACTCTGTAGACCAGGCCGGCCTTGAACTCAGAGACCCACCTGCCTCTGCCTCCTGCGTTCTGCCCAGCTCTCAGTTTGCTTTCTTATATAAGCCAGGCTCACCTGTCTGGGAGCAGCACCACCCACAGTGGGCTGGGCCCTTCCCACGTCAATCATTAATCAAGAAAGTGGTCCCCAGACACGCTTACAGGCCAATCTGATAGAGGTAATTCCTCAAGCAAGGTTCCATCTTCCCCGGTGTCTTAGTGCTTCTGTTGTTGTAACAAAACACCATGACCAAAAAGCAAGTTGTGGGGGGAAAGGGTTTACACTTCCACTTTGCCATTCATCACCAAAGGAAGCCAGGACAGGAACTCAAGCAGGGCAGGAGTTGATGCAGAGGCCATGGAGGAGTGCTCCTTACTGGCTTGTTCCTCATGGTTTGCTCAGACTACTTTCTTATAGAACCCAGGACCACCAGCCCAGGGGATGGCACCGCCCACAATAAACTGGGCCCTCCTCTGTCAATCACTAATTTTAAAAATGCCTTACGGCTGGATCTAATGGAAGCATTTTTCTCAATTGTGGTTCCTTTCAGATGCCTCTAGCTTGTGTCAAGTTGACATAAGATTATCCAGGACACCAGGGGTCTCTAGTTTGTGTCAGGTTGACAAAAGCTAAGCTGCACATTAAGATCCTCCCAATTCGGGCTGGAGAGATGGCTCAGCCGTTAAAGGCTAGGCTCACAACCAAAAATATAAGATCCTCCCAATTCTAGCAAATCACATTTTTGCAAGTGAGGTGAATGCCTTAAGAGCTGGCTTTCTTTCTCCCTGGCCTTGGCTGGGCAAAGCTGCAGATAACATATCAGACCTCCTCAGGTTTGCTATAACAGGCGGCCACAGGGAATCCTGGCCTTAGTGGGAAAGGAGACTTGGGCTGAATATCAGTGGCCTTACCCTCTGTCAGTCTCTTGTGATGGGAAACTACAGCATGGGGACCAGACCAGTGGGAAGTCAGGAGAAGTGTGTGTAACACTTGATGAGCTGTCGACACCTCCACGAGAAGAGGTAGGAACAGGCCCCACTGGCCAGTCCTGAAGTTCTAAAAGGCCTTGCCTTGTCTTCATGCCAGCACAAGGATGGGATAACAACCCTCCAGTGAAATTAGTATTTGCCTGTATTATTTATGACTCCGGCCAAAATTTCTGGTATTCTTACCCTGATGGGCCACTCAGAATCAGTGAGAGGATGAAGCTGATCTCAGTGGGCAACTGAGAATGACAGGGATGTTCTAAGGCATGGCTTTGTTTCCTCTTGCTTGCTAAGGTGTGGGCAAATGGTTCTCTGACAGGACTATACCTGCTTGTCAAGAAGACTAGCAATTTCCACCTAGCCTGTGGGAACCTTGAACATTGTGTTAAAAGCCCAGCTACCCTGCTAGAAAGAGCCCATGGAAGGACTTCAAGATTATGCTGGGGAGGGAAGGGGGCAGCTGAGCCCAGACTTCTACTGCTCCCACCAAAGTGTCAGGAATGGTATGGATGCCATCTTGAACTCTCTAAACCAGTCCAGTCACATGCCGGTGATTGACAGACCCTAAGTAAGTCTACCTGGAGTAGTAGAATCACCCAGCTGAGCCCTGCCCAAATCCCTGACTCACAAAATGATCAATAAAATGGAGGGAGTGTTTTTGGTTTTTTGTTTGTTTTTCTTTTTCGGGACAGGGCTTCTCTGTAGCTTTGGAGGCTGTCCTGGAACTCTCTCTGTAGACCAGGCTGGCCTCAGACTCACAGAGATCCGCCTGCCTCTGCCTCCTGAGTGCTGGGATTAAAGGCGTGGGCCTCCATGCCCAGCCATTTGCTCCCCTGGGTTTTTAAAGGGAAGCCTCTCCTTCCCTCTATGGCCCCATCACATTTTCTCTGATGTGATGCTCTACTGTTTCGGCCCCATCACACTGAGGCCCTGCCTGTCTCCCAATAGAGCGCATCTCTGAATGGCAGTTGTGCACGGGAGCCTTTCCAAAGGCAACCACCACTCCCTCATTTCTAGTAAGAACCCCAGGGTCCATGACCTCCAGATCTGTCCTGAAATTGAACAGGAAGGTCTTTCCCTGCAATGAAATTCGTCTGCATGAGAGTGCATGGATGCACTTTTAACCACCCATAAGAAGTCACCTCTACCCCGATATTTAGGGACATTTCCAACTGTCATCTCTGTGTCTTCCCCATCACCACCATCACTGCAGTGACCATTCAGTGGCACTGACAGTGTCTGCTGAGGTTCCCCACAAGCAGGCTGTGCAGGGAGCTCTACATAGGGAACATGGTTTGGCATGGGTTCTAGTATCATGGGCCTGGCTTTCTCAGTTCCACATTTATTAGCTCTTTTGCTGTAAATGATTTGACCTCTTGAGGCCTCAGCTTCTATAAATGGGGACAGTCATAGACCTCATCCTGTCCAGGGCTGCTGTGAGAAGTCAGTGGGATAACATACATAAGTGATTTTATCCTTAATACATGTTTTATAGGATTATTTCATGATGGGGGAGAACTCAGCAACAGTGTTGCAGCAAGAGTTGGGAAAATTGAGACTTTTTGTACTGGCGAATAAACAACATTTAGAAGAACTGCTATTTTCCAGGGTTTTAATGATTGTTACCTGGGAAGATAAAGTTGGCTTTATGGGTATAATGTGATGTGATGGGTGAGGAACTCACAAAAATTAAAGGGAAGTGATTTTTCTCTAAATCAAAAGGACTCAAAAAAGTAAGTTAGAGGCTGTGGAAATGGCTTCTATTTCCATCACCAGAGTCCATATAAAAAACTTGGAGCAGTGCTCATAATCCCAGCCTGGGAGATGGAAACAATTGGATCCCTGGGGTGTTCGAAGCCTACTTTGTGAGCCCCAAGCCAGTAAGAGACCTGTTTCAAAAATGAATGAATGAACGAGTAAATAAATAAATAAATAAGGGGTGGTCTGCACCCGAGGAATGACACCCAAGGTTAACCTCTGGCACACACTCAGACACGAGCACACACCTACACACATTTGTACCTGAACGTATGTGTACATACACACAGAGGAAATCTGCAGGCAGAATGCAGAGCCTCAGGCAGTGGTGGACTCTCATCACTGGACACAGCCCAACACAGGTGGCTGGACCTGGGGCAGGACAGTGATGGAATCTGGCTAGGCAGAACTGAGGGCCTGGGAGGAGCCTTTCCAGTCCAGTTCTGTTCTGTGATAGGAAGGTTTCAGAGACACAGGGTCCATTAAGGATAGGGGAGGAAATGATATCTTTGCCAACTGGCTTCAAGACTGATCCTTAACCCCACACTGAGACCACCCCAAATCCATTGAACCTTGGAAATAAAATCTGGCAGTTGTACCTTTAATCCAGTGATCCCAAGATTTTCCTCTAGGGTCACAAAGATCCCTTTGGAACTGTAACTCATCAAACACTTGGGTGCCTGTCCACACAGCCTAACTCCTACTGCAACTGCCGTCTCATTTACGATACACGTTTAATAGGCATAGCCTCATTAATTTGAAATGTACCTCCACTGGGTTTATCTTTGTACCAACAAGGAGAGTCAGGTATGCATATTTATTGTCTAAGATTGCAAAGTAATGGTTAAGCTTCTTATTTAGAATACTCATAAGCGCTTTAGAAAAATTATCAGGTCAGTTACAAATTCATCCTACCTCTTCAGGAAGGCAAGTGACTAATGGACCACCTCCTGGCAACTATTGGCAGAGTCTAGTTTGCTATTTGAATTGCAATAAAACTTCACACTTAACCGTGTTTCCTCAGAGTATTTCCACTCCCAGGAACTCAGGTCACACCCGGGAAGGTTGGTGTGTACACCTGTTGTTGATGTGGTGGCTTGGGACAGAAAATAACTTTTTTGGGTTTGTTAATATGATCCAGGGTACATGATTTCAAATTAGTAATTGCCAGGCAGGACCCCTGAATGTGTGTGTGATATGAGCTGAGAGTCCTTATAATACATGCTTCCTGAGCCACTTACGTTCGCAAAGGTCTGGTTTCATTGATAGATAGCCAATGTGGGATTTCCTTCTTTGATGCTGAATTAGGATGCCCAGGAGAGTTGTGGCTGGAGCTGCGGACTGACCCTGGGCATGATAACAAGGTCTAAGCTGCATGCCAAGATTGAAAGCACACAGCCCTTTGTAAGGAAAAGGAAGCACAGATACACCAATAGGATGTGTGGTAAGATTCCCCAGAGCAGCATACTTATCTACAGGCCCCTAAGAGGATGCCCAGAGCTTGGGAGGCCACCAGGTTGAGAAGTCCACATTAACGCCAAAGATGAGCTGTGTATGCTTATAGCAGGGCTGCGAGAGCTGGCAGAGGTGCTGCAGAGGCATTGAGACAGGTTCACTGAGTAAGTAATGGGAGGAACCCTGAGATGTTCATGGGACAGAAAGGTAGTGTGGTAAAGGGCAGAACGAGAGGGGCATGGGGGAGGGGAAGGCGGGACGCACACCTGGGTCTTAGGTATGCTGACTCAGACACACAAAGGCAAGATGGGAAATGTCTAAAATGAAAGGACCTAAGTCCGGAAGGGCATACGTCAACTGGTCCAGGCAGAGTCATGTGGAGGACCAGGGCTGTAGGAGATCATCTCCATAGAGACAGCCACTGCTGCGGAGTCTAGGAGTTGAACTTTGTGCAGAGGATACACAACCCCTTCCTCTCTGGCCAGAGGCAGAGGAAATGGGCTATTGTACAGAGCGAACGTTTGGGTAAAGCTTTCTAAACAAGCAGACAGAGTACAAGGACAGATGTGAAACTTGATGGCAAATTATGCTCTGGAGATTGAGATGATTAGGGTGGGCTGATTCAGTGGCCTACGGGAATTCAATACTTCCAGCCTGGGAGCCAGCCACTCAGGTTCTATACCTCCTGTGGCCATCTGCTGTCGCCCTGGCTCCTGCTTTCCTCAGCAGTACTATGGTCTGAATTGTCACTGCCTCCCCCAAGGTCATCAGGGTCACCTCCTGCTGGCCTCATGTAATTAAATGGTGAGAATTCCAACCTCATCTATGGAGCATAGGCTTTCAGATAGTCATGTGGTGGAAAATTCTAGGCAAAGCAAGCTTCAACAGTAAAGAGGGGGAGAAACTAGCTACAAATTAAAAGCGGTTTCTCCCTGTAAGGTGCTGTGGGGCCAGGAAACCCATTAACACAATTCTGATATCTAGCACGGACAAGTGTCTCTGTACCTAGTCAGTTTCTTTTAATACTGATACTTCTAACATGGTTCCAAATCACCTGGGAACTTGCTGGACATTTTAGTATGATCTATCTATGCCATACCAGTCAAACCACAGCTCCTGGGAAGCTGCCAAGTGACTTTATCCAACTGCCTGGGTGATAAGGAAGCAAGCTCCAGGCGAGGTTCCACTGTACTCAAATCCACAGAACATTAAAGCCCCTAACCCTGGAACCAGAGCATTTTGATTCTTCCATTATGCCACACTATTGACATGTCAGGATTCCCTTGTGGAAAACAATGGTGTAGCAGTGACCAGCTCTACACATGTGGTCCTTGCAATAAGACTGTTAACATTTCACACACAGCGGCAGTTCGGTAACTTACCGGAAGGCTGCCCATGTGACGTGAGCCTTGTCAAATGCCTTTCTCATCACAGAATGATGATTCCCATTGGAAGGGACATTAGTCGAGAAATTGATTTATAACCAAGTATCCCAACATTTCTGTGGCATCATTTTCCAATTACATAGCTTCTGGCTAACAGCACCCAAGTCTTCACAGGTTGTGTTTCTAACCAGATGTGTCACCTTGTACCTACATCTCTATTTCACCCAATGAGCAGCAAAACCTTGTAGATGCAGGAACCTTCCTTCTACTGAGACCAGAATCTCCTACATTTAGCAGGAAGCCAAGTGCTTGCCAGATGGGCTTGTTTCTCTTGTCTTTGGACTATTTTTTAGTAGGGTCTCACTACTGAGCTCGCACTGTTCCCAAACCTCCAATCCTCCTGCCTGAGCCTCTAGAGTGCTGGGTAGGCCACCAACTACAGCCTTGACTGTGGTTTCCATCCTCATCTCTGGAGAAATCCCACCCACTTATTACCTGCAACAGGTTTAGAGCCCAACTGGCCTATCTAGGTTTTTCCCACCTAGGAAGCCCAGTGATCCCAAGACTTTCGGTAGTAAGGTACAAAGCCAAGCTGTTTTTACCCTGCTTATTGAGACAGGGTCTCATATGTCCCAGACTGACCTTGAACTTCTAGTCCTCCTGCCTTTACCTCTTGAGTGTGCTAGCCACTGCACTGGGGGCCGGGGAGGGAGGGGCTGAAGAGTAAACACAGGGCTTTGTGCATGTGAAGCAAACACTGTACCAGCTGAGCTACCCCCAGCTTCCCCGGCAACCACAAGCTGTGCTTGAACAGATCTTTTGGCTGGTCAGTGTCTTGTGGTACCCACTCGTAGCCTAGATTTGCAATTCCAGAATTTGTAGAAATTGTTAAATCAACTAGAAGAAAACTGTGTCGGCTCTCAAAGTAGCTGCCATACTGGAGAAGGACGGTGATGTGGCAAATTAAAAACAGCATTTTTCTGTGTTTTTGTTTGAGTTTAGGATGCACTCATTTTCTCCAGTGGGTTAACTTCTCTAATTATATTTTGCAGAGTCTAATATTAGCAGGCATTTGTATTCCCTGAGCACACAACATCTGACAGTGAGCATTAAAAGACAGAGTCAGCTTTTCTAAAAAAAATTAAAACAAATGCTGGTCTCAGAAAATGACAGTGTTGTGATGGAAAACACACACGCGGATAAAGAACAGGCAACTGATTATACAACACTCTGGAAATAATCTGAGAGGAGGATGGGGATTCTCTACCAACCTGTGGACAGGGAATGAAGCAGCCTGTTAAACTTCTGGGAGAACCGACTTTCCAGCAACCTCTTTCAAGTTAATGGAGCTTGATGAGAAAAATCAGGACGGGAGGGCCAGCGGATTCCTGGGTGGTCCCTCAAGTAAGAAAACCCTGAACAACAACACCAACCCATTTTAAAAGAGCATTTAAAATGAATTTTATTGTTTGGATTTTACAAGTAGTCTTTAGAGGCTTCAAACAAGAACTCTGTTGCAAAACTCTAATAAATAGCTTGCCCCAAGTCCCCAAAGGAAAGGGAAAAGCAAATAAAAAGATAAGCAAGACTTCAGGATGCTCGGGTGTTAGCAGTTATTTCTCATTTACAGAGAGACATCAACCAGTGTACAAGCTCCTTCACACACGTTAAGGAGCTGACTGTAACCCTTCCAAAGCAATCCCAAATCCTCCTAATTCCACAGTAGAAATGTTAACAGGAAAAGAACCCACAGAGAAACCACAATCATTTGTGAATCTATGGCATACAGGTCTGGTATGTATATGGGAGACAGGCGCCATCCATTTTGTTTCTCGGGGATGGGATCCAGGGCAAGTTGGGTCCACTTAACAGCAGGAAACTTCCAGCACATAGCCAGGACACTGGCCAGTCCTGCATCTCTGAGCTCCACAGCAGTGACGGTGAGGAGCCCAGAGCTGCCTGCATCACTAGACGGGAGGAACAGCGCAGGAGTGGTTTCTGCAGCAGAGTCCTTTGGGTGGCCACGAAAGGATGCAGGAAATGCTGTGGGTAAACTCCACGCTGCAGCATGCAGGTTCCAAGAGCCCATTCCATTACAGGCATTGCCCCAAATGAACACGGATTAGACTCATGGTTTAACATTCACTGTTAGCTTTCCTAATTAAAAACAATGGTGAAGTCTTGCTTAGACAAGAAGGATTTATCAATTTAGTCCATTTGAACAAGCTTAAAAAAAGTTGTGCTACATCTTTAAAAATCCCAAACAGAAACTATACATATATAAACTTTTGACCAAAATGTATTTAAAATGCATACAGGTAAGATTTGTATTTGGGAAAACTCAGGAGCCAATTAACATTACGGGCCTGGAAGGTAAAACAGGTTGATTCTAATTGAGTGGGGTTCACTTAAGCCAGAGTCCTAGTTCTGAGGAATGTACCGGGGACCATTTTCTGGGGGAAGAAGGGACAAGATGCAGGGTCAGAAGGGTGAGTGCTGCTGGCCCTGAAGGTCTCTAGCAGACAGGCGCAAGGGTAGAAACCTCACAGACCACACAGGGGAGCTGGGCCTTTCCTTAACATCCCCTCTTCAGGCATTTTAGGAAGGGAGACAAGGAAACACCCCTCCCCTCCCAACAGTTAAAAAGAAAAACCTTTATTTCCCTAGGAACAAAGAGGTTTGCCTGGATAGCAGGGAGAGCTTGGGTTACCTGAAATCGATCAGAAGCAGAGGCTGAGGGGCCAGGGGGGCACTTGGGTCCTGGGCCCAGTTTCTTTGTAAATACATAACAGATAAAGATATTGTGCAAAAAAATAAAGACATTCACATTTTAGCAGTTAAACTTTTATTTTACTTTTTAAAATTTTTATTTCATTTTTTCTTTTTCTTTTCTACAAAAGGCAGATAATGATTGTTGATCTGCAATTGTGTTGTGCACTGTCCGACAGGAGCAGAGTGGGAGCTAGGGATGCCGGGAATATTTTCCAAGGCTTGAACGGATGCTGACGGCACCCACGGAGAGCAGCCTGCCCCTCCTCTCCCTCAGCTGCCCTCAGCTCATGTCTATGGTATTGAAGACCCACTCTGTGAACTTCTTTAGCTTGTCCGAGGCATTCTGGGACTCTTCCTGCAGCCGCAGATTGTCCTGGCGCAAGTGCTGCACCTCTGCCTGGAGATGGGCCTTGTCCTCTTTTTCCTGAAGGAAAAGCCAAGTAGATGTAACCCGGGCTGCCCAGCCACCACACCCAGCTCTCAGGAGAAGCAGCTCCAACTCTCTCTAGGTGGCCCCTTTCCATTCCGCAGTCTACTAAATATCTGATCCAAGCCCAGGGGCTCCAGAAAACCCAGCATTACAGGGTCAGCTGGGTGTGCAATTATATTAATGTGTGTTCCATAGCCAGTTTTGAGCTTTAGGCCACTGCTTTGATGGCTGCTGCCTTGATAAAGTCAAAGCCAAAGAAACACAGCTTTCAGTTCTCTTGGTCTGAAAACCCAAACACCAAGGGCTACATGCGAACCCATAGTCCTGACACCTGACACGAGGGTTGGAGGTCAGGACAAGGCCCAAAGAGGCCTGGGGGAAACTTGAGTCTTTTCCCAAAAGGAACCAGGTTTTCTGTACATAGGACAATGAAGGACTCTCACACCACGTGTGCCAATGGCACCAAGATCTATGATGCCCCCAAACACATGTACAGAGAAATTGTGCAGGGAAATACCCACTTGCCTCTCACTGACCTCCCTAGCTCTCCCAATTAAGGGCATTTTGTTCCCACAGCCTGGGCAATCTGTTCTGGGAACATTTACCTTCTTCAAATCTTCTCGAAGCATCTTCAGCATCCCTTCCAACTGGTCCACTTTAGAAGCCAGAGTGGGAGAGGACTCCTTACTGCTAGGAGGGAGAGACAAAAGGCCATGCTGGCAGGCACCGCCACGGCTGCTGCGGTTTTTATACCCCCGTTTTATAAAATGTTTTTCAATGTCAAATTACTCAGCATGGCAACCCAATGTGCATTTTTTACTTTAAAAAGAGAAAATGGTGATCTTAACAACAGGCGATACAGGTATGAATGACAGCCAGCCAATGTCCTTTGTTAAAGACATTGTATCTTTTGACAAGAGTTGATGACAATAAGTGGAAATGGTCTCTTTGGTAGTACAGGAGGTACGCTTGCAGGTCCAACAGCCACGTAGTGCAGTTATTCTCAAGACATCTTATAGAGGTTTCAAAAGACAGGGGTGTGTGTGTGTGTGTGTCAGGGTGATTACACCTGTATGTAGCTAATGCAGGGTATGCACTGGGACCACTGACACAGAGCATGTCTAGAGCTCCCAGAGGCCTTGGCCCCTAAGCAGGTCACTGTAGCTACAAACAATGCTCACATCTTAGCTAGTCTAAATACCTTAAATATTGAAAACAAGAGGCGGCATGTTTCAAAATCCTGTCAGTCAAGTTACTATCTCAAATTCAACGCCTAATATTAGGGCCAGTAAAGCAGCTTTGTTAAGTTAAAGTGCTAATCACACCTTGCAGGCAGAGCACCAAGTGTGTCTGGGTGGCCTTGAGGACCACACGGCTGGGTGCTGTCACCCCCAAAGCCCAAGGCTGAGGACCAGTCAGCGCTTCTTTCCAGCTCCTCCTCTATATGAATGTGAGCTGCCAACGGTTTCCTTAAGAACCACACAACAGGCCAGGCGTTGGTGGCGCATGCCTTTAATCCCAGCACTTGGGAGGCAGAGGCAGGTGGATCTCTGTGAGTTCAAGGCCAGCCTGGCCTACAAAGTGAGTTCCAGGACAGCCTCCAAAGCTACAGAGAAACCCTGTCTTAAAAAAAAAAGAGCCATACAACAGAAAGCTGGGCTTTCTGTAGGGAAAATGCAGAGGACTCTTTGTAGAGCCAGAGATGTAACTCTTGGCCGTCTAAGTCATGGAGTAAAAAGTATTCTTCAAATACAGTTCAAAAGTCAAAGTTCAAGTCGGAATTCCTGACCAATAATGAACTAACTGTGCCACTGTTCTCTTAGTTTTATGTCTGGAACAGGCTTCAAAAGTAAAGCCCCCAGTTCACTGAACACAAGGTGAGTGTTACTGTCTCCAGCCTCTTCAGACAAAACCAAAGTGGACAGTGAATGGAGCAGAAAAGGGAAGCGGTCGGCTGTAACCTACAATGTGTTGCCACAGGCTGGTCAGTTCATGGCTGGGCTGAAGGACAAACATGCAGAACAGAAAGGAAGCTGTGTATGGGGAAACAGTTGCCCCTCACGAAGCCCCGCAGGGCACTGGCCCCAAGGAGTCCTGGGGCCCAAATCCATCCCTCAGGTTCTTAGGAGGAACTCAGAGCACTGAAGGCACATTAAGGTCTATGTACTGCATCTGCCCTGCTGTGCCCATCTTTCCCTCGTCCTATGATCCCTGACAACGACCCCTCCTAGAAAAGGTCGACTCACTCTCTCTGCAGAGCTCATCCAATGCAGCACACTCCTTCAACGGGGCTTTTTATGCCCAAAGTTTCGAGGAGTCTGGCACTCCGCTTACCCCAGCTGTCCCAATGATAAAAGGGACTGTGACATCTGTTTTCCTCATAATTAACAAGAAACTAAGCACACATCCCTGTGGACCTGTTGAGAAGTTCTCAAGCAAGAGCCGACCTAGAGCAGCGTGGCTTCCTCAGCTTCACTTACCTGTACCTGCTGCTCCCCTGTTATCTCGCCTCACAGACATCCGAGTGAAACACGCTGCTTTTATTGAGGCAGTCTCCAAATGCAGCCTGGCTGGTCTCCTCACCTTGCTGCTGAGCTCAGCCTCCAGAGTACGGAATTACAGGTATGGACTACCACACCTGACTTAGATATTTTGGTTCCTTGGTTCCCAAGCATCCCCAGGAGGACTCAGGGCAGGAATTTCCATTGACGAGACTATTCTGCAAGCTCCACAGCTGGCTGCTGGGATGCTGACTAAGGAAGACATCATCTCAGACCTCACCTCAACCACTGGAAGCCAAGGGAAACAGGAAACACTGCTCCCACACAGTCCAAGTCTCAAGTCCATGATGGGAATTCAGAGGCTCTCCTGGCTTCAGTTACTACCAACCTGCCCCATCTTACAAACGCTCTTAGCCAGCCTGCCCTCCTGTTTTAAACACAGGAGAGGAGAGGCAGAATGCTGGGAGCGGAGCAGACAGCAGTCCAGGTGGCCAAAATAGCTGAGAAAACTCAAAAGTCAGATTTTAAGACTAATTCCCAAGAGCTCAGGGGCATTTGTGACCAACGATTTCTCTTACTTTACCTAATAAGCTCCAGGGGCACAGGTGAAGTGTGACACTGAATAATAAAGAATATTCATCATTTTCTCCTTAAACATCAAACCAGTTTAATTGTGTGTACAGTAGTCAGTCAAGAAGAGTTCTAACTAAAAAGCCAAACGTCTGGCATCGCAGCCAAGCTTCACTCGGCTCATCCATGGGCCTTCCATCTCCTCTTCGCCACCTCTGCCACTACGGGGGCGACACATGGTGCAGAGTGGTGCCCTCAGCACTGGGTGACCAACCTGCTGTAGGACTTCATCTGGACCAGGGCCTGCTCCTCCAGCTGCTCGCTGTTGGAGGCCGCACTCAAAGGGCGATGGTTTTCATCACTAGCAGCAAAAAACGAGGCTCTCTGGACTGGAAGAGAGGTGAGGAAGCATTAAGGACAGGGACTATCCCTGAGGACCTCCCTGCAGAGCACACTAGCAGACCACACGATGGTCAGGCTTCACCAACACACAGTTAGGAAGCATCAAGGACAGGGACTATCCCTGAGGACCTACCTGCAGAGCACACTAGCAGACCACATGATGGTCAGGCTTCACCAACACACAGTTAGGTTTGAGTAGTCTCTAACCCTCCCAGGGAAAGACTGTGACAGTCTAAGTGCCCCTGAAAAGACAGCTGGTGTGAATCCATTTCTAGGCCCCTTCCCTGCGCATCAAAGCAGTGTCCTAGTGACAGCTTCTCCACAAAGAAGCCTTGTGCCAAAATCTATACCAAAGCTTTTATAAAGATATAAATGTCCTGGAAGGCTAAAATGAAGTTTCTTGGTAAGTTCTTCAAGGACGTTTTCCATAAGGCCAACTCGGGTGGGTTTTAGCACTATGTCCACACCAACTGCTTACATATATCCCAACTGCAAACCTATATGGAGTTTAGTCAGCGAACTGAAAAACCAAGTTAAGTCAGGGAAGTTCCATGAGCTAAAGAAGCAGGAAGGCAGTGATAGCCTTGGTCACTCTATTTCTGAACTGTGAGACCTAATAACTCCACTCTCTAAATTGAAACCTGACAGAATAGTTATTTTCAATTCTCCTAAGTGAGAGCAATAAACAGAATTTACTGTTACTACAACTTTACAAAGACAATTTTAGCATCAAAAAAGTTTTGGAAGGATAATCTTACTGAAGCAATGACAGAAGACAGCCTCTATCAATAAACACTGCCTTGCGTTTAGTCTCATATCTACAGACCAGAGCATCCTGGGGGCCACTACATTTACGAGCTACAGGAGTCACATGAATTTCTGTATAGAGGGAACATCAAGTTCCATCTGAGTACAAGATGCTCCCAGCCCAGCATCTGGTTCACCAGATCTCAGCACTAGGCTCTGGGCTCTGGCTCTGTAGGTGAAGCACACTTGTCGTGTGCCCAGAGTGGCGCATCGGTCAGATCTGTGGTGGTGGTCAGCAACCTCACTCACCCTCATAGGCTTTGGCGGCATCTACTAGGTTGGACCAGTCCAAGTCTGCGGCAGTATCAGGCAGGGGCATTAGGCCGGGGTCAGGGATGGGCTGCCTTCGGGTTTCCTGGATGTCAGTGAGGGAGCTGTCCGAGGCAGAGAATTCTCCTACAGAGGGAACAACAAGGTAACACTTGTGCCCACAGCTGAAGCGCTCAAGAACGTACCCATTTCCTGTTAACACAATTGATGTGCAAGCCATTTGTTGATGAAATCAATGTGTAGGCTAGAAGGCCATTAGTGAAGCAGACCTGCCTTCCTCCAGTCTCTTTCCATCTTAAAAATACCTCTCACCATCTCTCTCCCAAGAATGGGAGTCATGAGAAACTTAGTTTTGCACCGGGACCATGCATAGATCTGCTGTGAAGAACCGCTTGTCCTCAGTGGGGCAAGGGGCTAGCTCTAGTGCCCACAGCTTCTCATCACAGTGTCGAAGGATTCATCTGAGGAGAAGAGGCCGACTCTACTGGAGAACTGGTCACAGCCCAGGAATGCTAATGCCTATTAGAGGAACAACAGGGTCCCCTTTTATCTGGACCACAAGCTGAGATCTGACCCCAGCATCTGCAGGCTCTATGTTCAAGAGGGGGGAAGGACAGGTGTAGCCCTGGCCACCTGTGCTTTGCATCCCAGGAACAGCCTACTGGTTCCATGTTGGGATGTAGTTAGGCAGTATGAGAAGCAGAACAGATCGCACTCAAAGTGCTAAGTCTCCCATCGGAGCCAGACTGGGAAGGGACATTTAGGAGGCACTGACGTTATTCTCCACCCCAGGGATCCTGGGAATCACTTGAACAACACCCTGATCAGCAATATTACAGCAATCCAACATCTACCTTTTTCTAATGGGAAAGGTTATTCATTACAAACATTAAATCCTTGTAATGACTGACGATGATAAAAACACTTGTTTGGAGTTCCAGGGGCTACCCTGGGTCACATGAGGGCACACTGTTGCTGCTCAGGGTCTCGAAGGCAGACAAGTGAAAAACAGGGCAGTAGGGAAAACAGGAAACCTAGAGGCAGCAGCGGGGGTGAAAGCAGCATAGTTGTACCCCATGATCGTACCCCTCAAATGTGCTGTAGCACCAAAGCTCTGAAACAGTTAAGCAAAGCTCACTGAAAAGCAACGTGGCTCCAGAAATCCCCATTTCCAAGGGATGAAAGTTGTGCCTGTGACACCAGCCTCGTAAGCCAAGGTATATTTAGTACATGTTTTCCCTTTCAAACTGTGTAAGAAACACGGTAAAGTGAGTTGCTGGCTGTTAGTTTTTGTAAAACGAGCAAAATTATGAGCAAGTGGGAGTCAGCAAACCTGGAAGACATTCAGTGCTCAGCTGTATTTAAACCTGATCCCACCAAGGGTGTGTAGGCAGAACAGATAATTTTGTTTGTCACTTGTAACCTTTCTGTCCTTTCATCCCTGATGCTCCAGTTTCCATATAGGGAAAAGGGAACAAAACTACCACCTCCATCCCCTAAACACATTCCAGTGGCAGACACCAAACGAGGCTACTAAGTATGGGACCACAGGTGCTCCTGGCTTCTCGAAGGATTTGGGACGGGAAGGTGCACAGCGAGGACATGTGTTCCTCCCTCCTCACGCTCTCTGAGGAACCACTCAGCCTTTATCCATAAGCTGCTGCGGTGGGGTGATGCCCGAGTGGAAGCAGTTTTTCTGGACTATTTCCTTAGATCATTCATAAGCCTCTAGGGGTCAGACCATTCTGAGGCATGATTGTGGTGCGCATACCCGCATGGGTGGGGAGAGGCACACTACTTTTCATTGCTTGTGAAGGATGGACAAGTCATGAAGCAGCAATGTAAATACATTTATGGTTGGGGTCCCTATAACATAAGGAACCGTGTTAAAGGGCTGCAGGGTTAGGAAGGATGAGAACCACTGCTCTAAAGAGCCTGTGGCAGGAAGCAGTACTTCATGCGCTGGCTTTGGTTCACTGGGGAGTGAGTTTCTGGGGCAAAGCCAACCTAGACTTAAGCTGTAGGTGGGACAGGGAGTAGCAAAGGAGGTGGCATGGTCCCTGAGTAGCGAGAGGGAGCCTGGGAGTGTCTGAGCTGTATGGAGTTGTGCGAGAATGTTCATGAGCGCCAATGAGAGCTCAAGAAAGTGCAGAGCAATCAGGACGCTTAGAAGACATGGCTGCAGAGAAGGGGAAGAAACATGGGTCTGATATATGTGACTGCTGCGGCAGAGTTCACAGAAGGGAAAAGGCAGAGACAAATCTGGTTATGACGGTGTGAATAGCGAAGGATAAGACATGAGGTCCTGTGCTGTGGCTGCTGGACTTAGCCATGGCTATCAGGTGAGCCCTGGAGTGGATTTGGGCAGACGGAGAAAGAAAAACACTTAAGTCTAAAGTCCCAGAATATGGCTTTTAATAAAACTGGGATCTAGCGAGGCCGCAAATCGAGCACAGTATATAGACTGAGGGCTAGGATACAGAGGTACCACGATTCCTAGCTCTTTTCCCGGAAGATCCCCGGCTGACTGGCTGGAGCAGATCTGGGATCTTACGGCAGCTGAGGAAAGCAGGGCACATTTCACTATGAAATTATTAATCTCATGTTAGCCTTGTTTGCCAAATGCTATTTCAGTGGCTAGCACATCTGCCCAAAACAAGGATTCCCAGACTATTCTTTCAGAGTCAAGTCAACTCAGCAGGTCTTAGGTAAGGTCTAGCAACCAGTGTTGACCAATGCTGTGGTAACCTGTAGTCTGTGATTGTAGGCGGGAGGGAGCAACTGAAGGATGGGGTAGAGGTAGGAATTCCTCCACAACTGAAGGATGGGGTAGAGGTAGGAATTCCTCCACAACTGAAGGATGGGGTAGAGGTAGGAATTCCTCCACAACTGAAGGATGGGGTAGAGGTAGGAATTCCTCCACAACTGAAGGATGGGGTAGAGGTAGGAATTCCTTCACAACTGAAGGATGGGGTAGAGGTAGGAATTCCTCCACAACTGAAGGATGGGGTAGAGGTAGGAATTCCTCCACAACTGAAGGATGGGGTAGAGGTAGGAATTCCTCCACAACTGAAGGATGGGGTAGAGGTAGGAATTCCTCCACAACTGAAGGATGGGGTAGAGGTAGGAATTCCTCCACAACTGAAGGATGGGGTAGAGGTAGGAATTCCTCCACAACTGAAGGATGGGGTAGAGGTAGGAATTCCTCCACAACTGAAGGATGGGGTAGAGGTAGGAATTCCTCCACAACTGAAGGATGGGGTAGAGGTAGGAATTCCTCCACAACTGAAGGATGGGGTAGAGGTAGGAATTCCTCCACAACTGAAGGATGGGGTAGAGGTAGGAATTCCTCCACAACTGAAGGATGGGGTAGAGGTAGGAATTCCTCCACAACTGAAGGATGGGGTAGAGGTAGGAATTCCTCCACAACTGTCCCTCAGGAAACGAATGGCTGCCAGCCATCCTGGGCCATGGGCCATCCACAGGGCTGCCCAGCTGCAGCGGCGGGCACACTTACCATGCAACGACTTCATTCCCAATGTGTAAGATGGCCTCCTCAGTGGAAGTGACTTGGGGAGAGACGGGTAGGTACTGCTGAAGAGGACATCGTTGGGCAGGGCTTGGTCTAAAAGTGAAGCCCTGGAGGCGAAGAAGTGCTCCCTCTGGCCGCTGTAAATGCTCTCATCAGACAGTGTCCTGTGCAAGGCCCGCCGGGAGGTAGGGGTGGGGGGGAATGGAGACTGTGGGGAGGACAGTGCGTGGAACTGGAAAACAGAAGACAGACTGGGGTCAGGGCGCTGGGTCGGAGAACAAGACCAAGGTGGGGTGAAGCAGTGGGGTGTTGTCTCCAGATGAACCCCATCCAGTGTTGGAGCCCCATCCAATCCTACATCCTAGGGAGAGACAAGTTCTACCCATGTTCAGTATGGAACACAGACCCATGATTTATCAATATTACATGGTACTGAATAACAAGATAAATGATGTTTTGTTTGTTTTTGAGATGAGGGCTCTTACTCTGTAACCCTGGCAGGCCTGAAACTCAGGAGACCCACTTGCCTGGTAAATGCATGCACCATGGCAGACACACACTCTCATATAAACACGTACATACAAACTCAACACACAAGCATAAACTATACACACATACCTATCACACACACACACACACACACACACACACAAATAAGTCAGTAAATATTCTTTAAAATCATGACAAGTTAAATCCAAGGTATGCACAAGTTGGTCTAGGACTAAGCCACTATGATCAGTTTGTGAGAAGTGACGGATCTTTCACAGACATTAACTAGATTTCTAACTAGTTTTGTTTTGGTAAAATGAAATCACAGCTTTTCTGTTTTCAAGGTTCTAGAACCATCACACAAGGCTACTGCCGGTCGGTCACACACAGCTCTCAGATTCCACTTTAATATGTCCCACTGATCTTTCTTAGCACCTCAGGCTTTAGCAGGTCTTAACTTCCAGTGAGCATCTCTGAGGGATTTACAGGAGATAAACTCTACACCAATTCCTGTTTTGCCTCTTTGGGAACCAAGAACATTCTTCTGGACAGCACACTATTAGTTTTCCAGAACCCTGCCCCCTGGGAAGCAGGGCAGGTGTGGAAAGACAGAGTCTGCCTGGGAGCTTTCTGCCCTTGAGATACAGCAGTACCGAGTCTTGTTAGAAATGGGCAGCACACCTCACCTCATCGTCTTCAGCTCCCACCTGTGGGGGTGGGGCCTGGGATTACCTAGGGCTATGGAGCAGTGCAGTCAGCCCTGGGGTAAGAAGCTCCCAGCTGGCTGTCAGAGCCAGATTTCAGAGAACACAACGACAGGTGCCCAAAGAGTTTCTTACAGCACTCACTGCTAGGGCAAGGGTTAGGCAGGAACCATAGCCACGTCAGTCATCTCTCCTATCACAGAAGTTCAGTTCTACAGATTGAGCTTTTGCGGATGATTTTACTTTAAAAATAGGTGGGAGGCTTCCCAATGTAAATCTATTGAACCATTTGGAGATCACTGATTCCCCCAGTTTGATCACAGCCCAGCAGAGATGGCTTCCTATTCCATCTCCGCTCCTGCCAGCAGTGACTCAGACCTCCTTCACCCCATGCTGTCCCTGTTCTGATCATTCCCAATTGTCCTGTCAGTGACACGGAGTCACCAGCACTCAAGGAAACTAGTTGATTTTCCTACATACTAGCACTGTGAGGAGTCCCTTGCTCAGGTGAGCCTGAGATCATTGGCTGGGAAGCAGGACAGTATGCTGCCTGCAGCAAACAAGGTGATCCCATTCTGCCAGGGAGGTGCGGTACAGCTCCATCAGCATTCTCAAGGCTGGGGCACAGCACTGACTAATTGCGCTCTACTGGCAGCAGAGTGAGGACCGACGGCTTGTAGGATAGGAAGTCCGCTGTGGGCTCCAAGTCTCTAGGATAGAAATGGTTTTCCTAGGCCTCTTCCTGAAGCTTGCTGCCAGCTTGAAGCCCTGAGTCAGGACTGGCCTGGGAGGCTTCTCCAGGCTATGTAACCCCCCTTACACCACAGAGTCATGATATCTGGAAGTCTACCAGAAGACACACTGGAGCTACCTAGCCAAACTCATCTGAAAGAAAACCAGCTCAAGAAGGACACACTGGAGAGGAAAAGCAGCACACCACTGCCTCTCCAGACTCCTGCTGCAAAGGTCAGAGCCCGCACTGTGTTTGCAGAGGGTCTCATGTCAGAGTTAGTACACAGAGAAGTACACCCTGATTCAAATAGCAGTGCTAAAGTAATTCATTTCGGAAATTAAAGCCAGAACCTGGAATAAGGAAAGACAGGCATCACCTTCAATTATTCCCACTGCATGAGTAAATCCAAGGAACGGAAACTCTGAGCTTACCCCCAGCCAAAAAAAGAAAAGGAAAACACAAACCGTTCAAGTAGGATTTAGAGAAAAAGATTACTTTGGGGGGGCAAGTTTTACTATCTTCCAACCTCAAAGAGCACATTTGAAATAATTTTTACATTGAAACCGGGACTGCAGAATTTTAATATGCCACCTTGGGTTTTGATGGCTAAGTTTCAAGTGCCATCTTTCTCAAGGTTGCTAAGGGAACCATTTGTTCCCTGGATGATGAGTCAGAACTGCTAAGTGCTGGCTTCCGAAACAGAGATGACAGAGGGATGGCTGTATCCATAAATCATGTTAATAAACCATTTATTTCCCAGCAAAACCAAAGAGTGGCCTTTGGGACACATGTAATTCCTATAAGTGCTGACTTTTCAGTTTAGGGATATATGCGATCTATGTGTGTGGTGCATGTGCACACACGTGCACAGAAAAGCCCAGGGGTGACAGGAGCATAAGGCTGCTTCACCTGGTACACCACTCACTGACTACAGTGCAGGCTGGTGTGTAGGAAGGATTTTCTAGCTTTCATTTCCAACACTTTCTCACTTGAAACTAAGCTTTCTAGTCACCCTCGACTCAGGGTCAAGTTCAAGGAGAGAAACCCTCAGAGTTCACCGCCATGACCTTCCTGGAGTGGCTTCCATTTCCCTGGGGCTGCCCAGAAGACATGAGCAGAAACATCTCACACCCAGGAGAGAAGGAATTCCTCAGGCCTTCATGTCTGAGACCACAGATACAAAAAGCCTTTGGCAGCTTTCCAGGCCCTGCAATGAGGTAGGCAGAAAAACCTGCCAAGGTATCCAGCAGAAGGCTGGCTGCTGAAGGACACCCACAAATCTGCACACACACAAGTCTGCATTAGGACATCCAAGATGGGCGGAGAGGAGGACCTGGCTCTAGGGAAGAGACCCACATTCTAGACTTCGGAGCGAGAAACGAGGCTTTGAGTAGAGAGTTTGGCCACGAGGCAGCTGCTCTGACTGACATGGAGATCAGCAGGCATGCTGGGGACACGTGAGAAGAGGACCTTATGGACAGAAGGCAGAGTGGAGGCCACATGGAAAACATTCTGGCTGACAAGGTAGCCACAGGTGTTTTTAAAGAGTCTCGGAAGTAACGCCATCTAAGTGCAGACCAGGGAATCATGCACTCGGAATAGGAAGAGGACACATTACAAGAGAGGGCCCGGGAAAGGGCAGCTTAACAGGAACCCACACCAGAGAGATGCGGACGTGGGGACAGAGTGCTCAATGCTGAGGAAGAGGAGTGTCCAGCACCCTCAGCCCAAGGTCCTGCCACAGCTGACTTTTCTCTGCCACACCCCATCGTGCCTTCTACCTTGAAATTCTTCTGTGATTCGGGAGTTGGGCTCTCAAGGTCGATGAGTTTCTTTAGATCCTCCTCAATGGTGGACTTGGAGGTGGGCTTGGGGGAAGCCCGCAGGTCCCTGGTCGAGGATCGGAGCCTAGTGTGGGCCATCTCATTACCATCACTCTGGTGCCGCCTGGGGAGAGACATGATGGAAATGGAGTCAATAGGTCTGGCTCCAAGGCATGGTCTGTAAAGGGAGACAGAGAGCATGACTCCTGATTACATTAGAGTATGCTCAGGTTAGCGCTTGTTAGAGAAACAGTGCCGATGTGAAACACAAAACAAAACCCACAGAGTAAACTCCTCTATTGGAAACCCTGCTCCCTTCAGCCAGCACTAGCAGCAGATGTTCAGACCAGAGATGGATCCCCAGTGCCACCTTTGTACAGCGAAGCAAAATGACAGGACTATTACATGGGAAGATCCTTTGTCTCATATCCCCCAGCCCTACTGGCCTGGCCAAGATTAACAGACGCTGGAGGCTCGATCACCCAGAATGCGTCCTTCACGCTGCTCTTTCTTCACACTGCTCTTTCTGAGGATGGGTAAAGATCTCAGACCCAAACTGCTTCACAGTACATCTTACGCAAGAAATGAGGCAGAGGGATAATTTATAAAATTGTTTAACAAATAAAATCTCTTCGGGAGAGGGGAGAAGTGTGATCAGATTATATGGAGAATAATTTTTTCCATTAAAAAATCGAAAGGAAAATCCCTCCACTAAGCCAATCCCTCAACCCCAACACCCCAGCCCAGGATCATGGGCCAAAAGAAACCGCCCCAGCTCTTCCTGTGAGCAGAGAAAACCAACCACTATGTAGAAGGAGAACTCTTACTTTCTTGTATCCATAAATCCCACAGAGTTAATGGTTCCTTCTGGTTTTTTCCATCCGATCAGGTACTTGCTAGTGGCACCCTGGCGGGGGTAGAAAGTCCTGGGCCCAGAGGAGGATGAGGAAGAGGAGGAGAAGGAAGGTGCCAGCTGGGAGGTTGTGGTGGGATGGAGCTCTTCTTTGGGTGAGCTTCGGGCACTGGAGAACACCACTGGGCTTGCAGAGTGTCGGGAGCTCATGGTACTGCAGAGAGGCAGAACAGAAACAGTGACTCCATTGTATACCCAGGGTCACCAAGCCAGCTGTGGAAGTGGTGTCCAGGGTGGGGGTGAAGGTGAGGTCAAAGAAAACCGAAATCTGAGTAAAAACAAATGATTAAAAGGGATGGCTACCTGGCCTTCCTGTTCTCTCCCTGAAATTTAGACGTTTGATCACAGTGACAAATGGTCAGTGGGACCAGGGACAGTAAAAGGAGCAGAAGTCACAATGTCTGTCTGTCTGTCTGTCTGTCTTGCCTTCCTCAGATCTGGGAGTCACAGTGATGATAAGACCAGGCTAAGGACCTAACGGAAACCAAGTCAGGGGCACAGCTCTTTGACACCCAAGGTCCATGTCCCTATAGCATCTAGCACTCATAGAACTCTAAATGGCTGCTCACGACCAGGCAAGTTTTAAGACTGAGCAAGGCAGACTTCTCAAGGCTGGGATGAGAGCTTATCTCATCCACCCCACACAAGGGTCCCATACTTCCCTTCTGAGGCCCCCAGGGCCCACATCCACAATAGGAGCACTGCTGAGTTCTGCTTAGGAGAAATCTAAGTCAGGTGACTCCGACAACAGACGTGCAGTTACATTCCTCAGAGTACTATTTGTCAAAAACTAAGTGCTCTGACTGAACAAATATTAAGGTGTCAGCAGTAATGTGCAGCAGTGACACAGGTAGCACTCATCAATGGGACATGATGACCAAGGACAAACTCAGAATGGGGTGCATGGGAAGGAATTTCTGCAACTGTGAAACTATCAGAATATTTTAAAGTGTTACAATAGGAACAAAAACCAGATCCCCACTGACTGAGACAATACATATCAGTGAAAACACATCATGACACTCTGGCCTCAAAACTCACCAAAATCAGTCCCACCTGGATTGTATATTAAAACAGACTCACAGATTCTGAACCATAATATGGAAGAACATTTTTATAACAGAGGCAGAGCATTTTTAAATGAGATCATGAAAATATGGAAGTACGAAAGCCCATTAAAGAAATACACATGCAGGTCAGGCGGTGGTGGCACATGCCTTTAATCCCAGCACTTGGGAGGTAGAGGTGAGCAAATTTCTGAGTTCAAGGCCAGCCTGGTCAACAGAGTAAGTCCGGGATATCCAGGGCTACACAGAGAAACCTTGTCTCAAAACACAAAACAACAAAGAACTATGTATCCAAAGGAGCAGAAAAATACACCCAACGATAAGTCCCCATTCATATATAAACCAGACTCCTAAACATAAACAAGACAACAAGGTGAACAAACAAACAGGGCAATGATTTGAACAGTAATTTCAAAAGAGCAAATAACTAGAAGACCTAGAACACCAGCACTCAGCATCGGCAAGTACAAGGAAGACAGAAATCAAACCACAAGGATATCATACAGCCACCAGGACATCTACATTAAAATTCCACATGCCAGAGAGGGCGTGATGCAGCTACCACTCTTACGGACTTCTGGTAATGTCTTCCTGTTACAACCATTCAGTCAACTAGATCACAGCCTCTACTGAGACTGAACATATGTCCTTCAGACATAACGATCTCTTACCTACCACGGTGAGAGAAAGCACACCTATGTGTAACTAAGGCATGTTTCAGAATCTGCAATATCCTCGGACCAGAGACAACCAAAATAGGAACCAGCAAAGGAAACTAACTGAGGTGGCCAGGAACACAGGGACAGACCTCAGCACTGTGGTGTCGATGGAAAAGGACACCACAGAATGACACAGAGGGTGTGATCCTGTTCTTGCTAAGTCCAGAATCAAGGAAAATAAGTCTGGCTGGGGAAGGAATGTGCTCAGAGTAAGGTGTAGGGATATGGGAGATGGTCTAGCTTGCTCTCTCTACAGTGCTCAACAGGGATGTTCATATACTGCTGCTGCCTTTTGTCATATGAGCGTTAACCTTCCATGAAAACATCCACAGCAAACAAAAGTCAATAATATAAGGAAGGGGTCCCATCAGTACTCGAGGTTCAGCAGGCAGAGTCAGACAGGTCCTGGGGGAAGAATCCGTCTGGGGAGTTTTCCCTGTGAATGTGGTCCGACTACTTCAGAGCATTAAGAACCAAATGTCCTGTTTTTATAATAATATGCAAAAAAGAGGTTCAAACTTGGAAAAACAGAATAAAAAATGACTAGCCGTTCACCAAACATTTTATTTCTCCCCAAGTAGTTTTCCAGCTAGTGATAACAGGTGGAGCCCCTACAACATCTCCAAGGACAACATAAATTTAAAAGCAATGTGATGTTACCTCTTGATAAACATCCCGCCTGGTTGCTTTTAAAATGAAGAGGGGCCAGAGAGATGGCTCAGTGGCTAAGAGCATGTGCTGCCCTTGCGGCGGGTCAGGGTTTTCTTTCCTTTCCTGCACTCCAGGAAAGCCAATGTTCTCATCCTGCCTCTGGGGACATCAGGACATACCCTTGCTGACATACACATGTAATTAAAAAAGGAAATAACACATCTTAAAAGGAGGGGGGAATGTAAATACTTGCCGAGTATTACATCAGTAAGGACAAAACAACAGCCGATCTCTGCTACAGAAAGAAGATCCAAAGTGTGAGAGTGGACTGAAGGAAAAAGGAGAGGCTTCTAGGGCTCTGGGGAGGCATCAGAGGCACAGCACACATCAGGGGAGGCCGTGCTGCCAGCCAAGGTGCTTCTGCAGCGCAGGAGGGCAGCCCCAGACAAGCTTAAACAGCAAGGCAGGTGGAAGGGAGTGGTGGCGGCGGCGGGTGAGCCTGTTAGTTATTTGGAGACAAGATTCTAGTCTTTGGTTTGCAGATTTTCAAATTTATATTTTGCTTTAGGATCTCTTCACACAGTTAGAACACAGTTAGGAGGTCCCAGGCCTTAACCCTGGTTGGTGTTTAGAGCAGAACTTACACATCTTGAATGAGCCAGCTCTCAAATAACAGTGTGTTAAAAATGCTGACCATGTCCCCTCTTCAGTGATGCTGGTGCAGTAGGTGGGACAGGGTGGGCAACATGAGAACTCACATTTTTGGGGGGGGTGTTCCGAGACAGGGTTTCTCTGTGTAGCATTGGAGCCTGTCCTGGAACTCGCTCTGCAGAGCAGGCTGGCCTCAAACTCACAGAGATCTGCCTCTGCCACCGAAGTGCTGGGATTAAAGACGTGTGCCCCCACTCCCCTGCCCAGAACTAGTGTTGCCAGAGGTTGCTGTGGCTTATGACCCAAGCTCTGAAATCTAGTGTACCTGAGTTATGCTTGAATTGCCATTTCACTTTCAAATACTTTGCTATTCCATCGCTATTCAAAAAATTCCACAACTTTAAAAGGCTAAAGTTGAGTCAAAACAGAAATAATTTGCAGGAGAATAGAAAATTTCACACAGTTCATTAATTTACAAGTATTCTGCTAAGCTGCACAGATCTATGCCAAGAGAAAGTTAAAGAGGAGGCTGGGAAATGTTCAAAGGAGATGGTAGTGTGTATGCTATGTGTGGTTTTCTTTTCTATGTGAATTTAACTGTTATTTTTCTAGCTGACATCTGGGGAGTGTCTGTATTAGTACACAGACTCTGAAGGTGGACTTTACCTCTGTGTGGTCAGTACTTCTGGGAACCCAGCAGGCTCTTACTAAAATACTTGCTGTGTAGTTTCTCCTTGGTGTCTGTCCAATGCAGAGTACTGCACACTTGATTATGCCTGCACTCTACTTTCCTGATTGGGTATAAACCCAGGAGGGCTGAGATGACTTTTTTCTTGCTTGCTGCTGGATGACCCATGCTTAGAATAGTCCCGGGCAACTCTAACCACTCAACATATGATGAAAGACAAGGCTAAATCAAAGGTAAGCTGGAAATCCATCTCAAATGTGAGATAATGGATGCACACAGTGCTTTATTCAAACTGTATTTAAAACTCAGCATTACTTCATTTTTATTGTAAGATAATTAAACCTAGAAATGGTGCTCTGCTTACAAGGGTATCCTCACTAGGAGAGTCAAGACCATGAACCTGACCATTCATTTTATCCCTGACTATGATGGCTAATACTCAGCCCCAGGTGTGAAAAGCCAGTGTACTTCTGTTTACTAATGGTTACAACCAGACAGTCCAGTTTAAGAACTGATTACATCTGGGAACAAGGGCACAAACAGAAAAAATAGAAATTCATGGGCCTGTCTTCCTTCCTTAGGGTACACACCTCTGGCAGGAGAAGCCAAGCCTTCACCTGGGACACCTTTAATACATGTACCTTGGAGTTCTAATCCCAGAGATCTATGGAGACAGAGCTAGATCAGTGTATACAAACTTGGCAAAAATCTCCCCGGGTGTGCACACGGTTTGAGAAACACTGCTTGAGTCCAATCGAACTGCTTATACTGCTCTAACTTGGTCAAATCCCCACTCTGTGTCTGCCAAGATCCAGGAGTCGAAGCCATGGATACTATGTTTCTGAAACAATGCTGTGGCCCGTGCAGGAGCCGATATCATTGAAGAGTTGCAGGTTCATATTGCATTTTCTTGAATCATAAAAACCCGTGTGTCAAGACATTTCTAAGGATTCTCTTATTTCCCAGAACCAAGAACTGCTATCAAAAATAGGTGGTCTCCTCCTTTCCTACATAGTTCTGGTCCAGGCCCTGGGTGGAGCTCCTTGAAGCTGACCATCTGCTGGCCAAGTCCACCTCCAGGTAGTACAGCCATATAATCCGCCAACAGACTCTGGAGGGAGTTTAATTATACTATAGCCAACTGAAAACTGACATTTCTGAGTTTACGGGGACCCAGACAGGTGGGCTGTTTCATGATCCTGGAGAACTCTTGTTAATTCAGTATGCCATGATTCTGTTTTACCTGTATGCCTTGAATCCCTTCCTAAGGACTGTGTAAAGTAATGAGGCAGAAACATGGAGCAAAAAGGAAAGAGAAGCAGATAACACAGATGAGGATGCCCTATCGATTCCTTACTACTACATGAAAACCCAGTCT